GCAAGCAGAGAAAAGAGTTCCTGGAGGAGCTAGGGATTGGATTTGGGCAAGCAAAGAGAAGAGTTCCTGGAGGCGCTAAGGATTGGATGGACTCTTAGAATTTTCGATTTTGCCAACTACAGGGGAGAGCGCGCCTTCTTCTCCAAACCTGCGCGTCTTCTTCATCTTGCCTCTCTCTGCGCGTCTTCTTCATCCACCAAACTTCCCTTTCTCTTTCCTCACATGCGGTATCTGTACTAGCCTTCACATTGAACGAATATAGGCTAGTGGCAGGGTTGTTGGCATTTTCCTTTTGCCAAAGGTAGAGTCACTTTTGAATTTGCCAGCAAGAAAAAAATAAAAAATAAAAAATATATATATTGAGTTCAATTTTCCTGTTTCCATTTCTCCTGTGCCCACCTGATTCCTTCTTACTTTGTTGACATGTGTCCTCTAACTTAACAGAAGGTTAACTCTGTTAAGTGTCATTTTTATTAACAAAATATTAAATGTTAAAATAAATTTATTCAGAAACATGGTCACCTCATCTTCTCCGGCACCCACTACCACCCCCGATGGCAACATATCCAGATCCACATCTATATATGCCCTCATTTTTATTAACAAAATATTAAATGTTAAGGCTTTTTATCACAAATGGTCCTTAACGTTTACGACTTTATCACGAATGGTCCTTGAGGTATTTTTGTGACACTAATAGTCCTTAACGTTAGTGTTTTTTTTTTTTAATCACAAATGGTCCCTCCATTAAAAATTCTGTTAAGTGTAATAAGTGGAGCCCACATGTCCAATCACATCGTGACATGTGGATTAAATAAATAAAGAAATAATTTTTTTTTATTTGATGAAAATCCATTCTCTCTTTGTCTCTCTCCCCTTCCCCTCTGCCCTCTCTCCTCCCTGTGCTCTCCCTCTCCCTCTATTTTTTTTTCCTTGCCTCTACAGCCTGACCACCCCATGCCCACCCACCCGCAACCCACCCCTCTCCCTCTGTATATTTTGCAAAATAATCACTTGCACAAGGTAGTTTCACATTTCCTTTTACACAAATATTTATTCAAACAACTTAAAAGATTTAAAAACAGAGGGGGAGAGTAAAGGAGGAGAGAAAATACAGTGGGAGAGGGTAGGGGAGTTGGGCGTGGGTTGCGACTTGCTGGTGGCTATGTTAAAAGGAGTGGGGAAATCACCACTCTAAAAGAATCCCAAAGACCATTTTTTCTTGCAAGTGGAAGGAAATGGGCAAGAAAAAAACAAAGGGGAATTGTGGGTTATGATTTATATACCACTATACAAAGATGAAGAAAGATATATGGGTTATATTATTATTTTTACAGAGGGAGAAGGAGAGGACAGGGGGTAGAGAGGGAGAGCAGAGGGGGGGGAGAGGGGGCAAAGGATGGAGAGCGAGGGCAGAGGGGGAGAGAGATGGAGTAGAGGAAGGGGGATGAAAAGTTGTAGAAAAAAAAAGGAATTTTCATTATAATAAAAAATTAATTATTTTTTCATCCACATGTCACAATGTGATTGGACATATGGGCTCCACTTATCTTCCACATCAGACACTTAATAGAATTTTTAATGGAGGGACCATTTGTGATAAAAAGCCCTAACGTTAAGGACTATTAGTGTCACAAAAAATCCTCAAGGACCATTCGTGATAAAATCTTAAACGTTAAGGACTATTTGTGATAAAAAGCCAATTTTAAAATAAATTTATTCAGAAACACGATCACCTCATCTTCTCCGGCACCCACTACCACCCTCGATGGCAACATATCCAGATCCACATCTATATATGCCTTCATCTTGTGGTCCCTTAATTCAACAAACATGCCCTCTTTTCCTCTCTCTCTCTCTCTCTCTCTCTCTCTCTCTCTTTCTCTCTGCACTGCCGTACCAGATCCAGACCCTCACCGCGTCCTCTGCATCGACAATGCCGGCAAGATTCATCGCGATTCGCGAGCTCGACATTCCTGGGGTGGAGGGATATCCGATTCTTTAAGTCAAAGAAAACTCACAAATATTCTTCATGGCCTGGCTATTCCCAAATCAATTCAATCCAAAGAAACAACGCCATCATGAGTGCATCTATAAAAATAAAAAGGGATTGTCGCCATTAGGGTGGTTGTGGTAGGTGGCAGTTGAGGTCCGGTGGGTGGGTGCTTAGGTGACTGCTGCGTTTTGTCTTTTACTTCAATTTTGAGTTTTTTAAAAAAATAATTTGATTCAAAGTTAACAGTATTTTGTGGAATGTTAAGTGAGGACACATGTCAACAAAATAAGAAGGAAACAGGGTGGGAACAGGTGAAATGGAAACAGGAAAATTGAACTCATATATCTTTGGCATCATCCGAATGACTAGCAAAACGAACAAGCAAGAGGAGATGAAATCATTTGTTCTTATTTAACATTTGTGACTCTTTCAGTGGCGGATCCAGGAATTTTCATTCTTGGGGTCAATCTTTTCCTAGTCCTCGAGCAAAACTAAAACTAAAACAAGACTCAAAACAATCTTTCCGATATATTCATACACTTGCGAGTATTTATAGTTGAGTGATTAGCACATTAATTTGTGTCGTTAAAATTAAAAGTAAAATAAAATAAAATAAAATAATGACAAAAACTGACAAAAATATTTATTTCACATTAAAAAAGAAGAAGAGGAAACATGGGACTACATTAACTTTTAAAAAAACATTATCATGGTGCGCTTCTTGATTCCACAATAGAAGCCTTTAGTTTGGTCCTCTGGATCTCTTCTCTTGGGTTTTCATGCACAGCTTATTGGGGCTCATTGCTTGAGCTCCCAAAGATCACACCCTTAGTTTGAGCATAACTTGTATCGTGATGTCGTTGCTTGTGCTTACCCGGTTGATCCAGGGCCTCCAGCTGCTTTAGCATGTCTTGAGACTAAAAATCTATCATATTTGATAGCTTTTGCATATATTGAGAAAAACATTTTTAATAGTATAGATGACATGGTTGTTATGCAACTATTTAAAAATATGAAAACTTGTTGAGGACAATCATGAATTGTAATGATTTTTTTATTTTTTTATAGTCAAAATTATGATTATAATGAATAGAAAATATTATTTTTCATGTTTTGGTATGTCTTGAGTTCGAATTTTTATTGTTTATATTTTGCGACAGGCCCTTACATACAAAAAATCATGGCTTCGCCACTGGAGTTTGTAGGGGCCTTTTTCTTCTGGCAGCTACAAATGGGCTGGGCTGCCGTAAAAATCAAACTGAAGAAAATACCCCATGTGTCTGAGTTCAAAGATTAGACCCAAAAATGTTTCGAAAGGATGGTAAAGCCTTAGGAAACACCTTGGTTACATTCACCAACAAAAAATAATGGCTGCTTACATATAAATTCTTAGTGCTTACAGGTAGAATCTTAGCTTGACATGAGATGTTTGTGGCATGGGAGCAAAGTTGCCATGAGTTTAGCACTAAAGAGAAAATTAAGTGTTCTTAGGGGAAAGATGGGGTATTAAGGTAGGAGAGAAAAGGGTTTTGTAGAAAGGCTTGGTTGAGAATGAGGGAAAGAAAGAGAGAAAAGGGTGGTTTGAGTGCTTTTCTGGCAGCTTGGCAGAGGTTCTGTCAAGTGTTAGAACAGCCTGCTAAGAAGGAAAACTAAGGAGGAAGGAGATGAACTAAGCAAGAAAATTGATGGTTTTAAAAGTAAGAGAGGAAGCTTGCTCTCTGGTTGTGGTTGGTTGTTGTTGGGTAGAAGAGGCTTTATTTATAGCTACTAGAAGCTATCCATTTCCAAGAAACCCTAATGGTTTCTATCCAATTTGGCCAAATCTTTTCCTTTCTTTCTCTCCTCTTCCCTTGACTTTTCCATCTTAGTGAAATTTACTCTGCCTATTTGCATAAAATCAGGGATTTTGAGAGCTCAAGGTTCCTTTCCTGCAGCTGCCCAAGTGAAGAACCCCTATTCTCAGCCATCCCCTTTCCTTTCTTTCCTTCCCTTTTTCATGGTCAGATATGATGAATGAAAAAAATTGGTATACATGCTGGTTCGAAGGATGGCTCCTTGGGCACCAATATCTTTTGGTCTCTTAGATGTTTTGCTTGAAAACTTGTTCCTTTCCCTCCCAGTAGCCCTGTGCATGTGGTCTTCCAAGCTCCTTTCGTGGCTTTGTCTCTCAGCCAAATGCGCTTGCTACTTCTCATTTCTAATTATATGGGCCCTCTAAGATAGCAAGTCAACCTACCAAACAAATGGGCTAATCTCATCAAGTGTTGGGCTATATGGGTTAATTTAATGGACCATTTTGGTTGGGCTATTTTCATTGGAATATTTTCTTTCTTGTGCTCACCCATATGTTTGGGCCTAAGAAATGGGCTTAAGTTCCGAGGCTCCTAAGGAACCCGGAACTTCCATTTCTCAGCCCATCAATGGGCCTCATGACAACTTATTACCATTCATATCATAACCCACTCAAGCAAGCCCCGAACATTTGAGTGACTTGGCCCCACTTAAGCTCTTGTAGCATGGTTGGGTTTGACATAATGATTTCCTGCTTGGCATAGCATGTTGCTTGGCATGTTTTTTAATTATGATGCTTGACGGGATAAGTAGCATGGATTTGTAGAGCTAACGCATTTTATAATCTTAATTTTGATTCCTAGCATGACGGATTATTTATTTGGCATGGCACGCAGAGTGTGCATGGCGGATCTTTGTATGCTCCAAATTGAGCATTTTTTATGAATAATGTGTCGTTTTGGGCTAGGAATTTATTTGGGCTCAACTGTAGATTTTTTGGGTCTTAACAGAGTTCGACCTTGGCGTTCGAACTGGGGTGTTATAGGGGGAAGGAGGAAGCCACCACCTATATGCTCGCAACCCATTGGCTTTCTTTTTTTCAATAATAAAAAAATGATAAAATTCCAAAACTTGGTCAGTCAAAGCACGCGTAGTTCAGTATGAAAAGTCCAATTCAAACCGGTCCAATATTCAAAGCCAAATTTAAAACTAAAATTGCTATATTTTGAAATATGCTATTACATCGATATGGAGTTACCCATTCTTACTTTGTAACTTTTCAAACTCTTATTTAATTGTTATTGGCTAAGAAAGAAAGAAAAAACCATAGATAGAGATCATGTGTTTTTCTTTTTAAAGAAAAAAAAAAAGGGAAAAGAAGAAGCTACATGGAAGAGAAAGGAATAAAACCAAACAGGCAACAACTTGGAGCGATCTGTGGACTAAAGAAAACCATCAAATGGCACAATATGCCTGTGCAGCATACTCAGTTTCACCGACGTCTTTATGTGCTCTAAGAAATTCTAGATGATTCAAAGGCTTATACCGCAAGGGGTGCTCCTTGTCCACGAACTCATCTGGTACTTGTATCATCCCTTTATTAACTGAAAGTAGTTCGGACGAGTATCTCGCCTCATTTTCTCTCAGTATCACTCTATGCCTACATGCTCGAATTCGATCGTTGCTCCAAACCTAGGCAAATCAAAGCATGCAAATATTGTTTTAGTCTATTTCGCAGTGCTTCTGACATGACTAAAACTGTTTTTGGACGAACAAAATCAGTTATGATTATAAAGTGCTTTTGGATCATAAAAATGTTTTTTTACCGAATAATCACTTCCAAATGTTTTTCAGAAAGCATTTGGATTTTTAATATGAACTCTTTTTAGGGTTGTTCCAATAAAGGCCCTTACAGCTACTATATCATAGACACATACCCATCTACTTTTAAATCTTTACATGACAACTTATTTTAAATTTTGGTTTTAAGTAAAGATTTAAAAGAACGTGGGTATGTGTCTATGATATAGTTAGTTGTAAGGGCCTGCATTGGAACAACCCATATATAAATAATACAAATTTATAAATAAAGCATGAACTATTTGGTGGCATACCTGAAATCCATCACCTGCTATGAATATCACGGATGAAGGCAGAGGATCAAAAACTACCCACTCATCATTCTTTGTATTGATCTCCAGACCATTGACATGATTTTGATGGAGTACGGTGGAAAAGTTCTTGTCCGTATGACTGCGTAAACCCACATCAACTTCAAATTTCTTGGGTTCTTTGTATGTTAAAAATCGGAGAGTGTGCGAAGTCGACTGAAAATGATCGTCATGGTACTTCTCTACACCATAGTTCTCAAATACCATTCTTGTCACAGCATGATCTATTTCTGCCATCACTCTTGCATACAAGTCCGCACTCTCACTGTCCAATAACAAAGAACAAATTAATTAATATTGTAAACAAGCCAATTAGCTATATAGTTGTAAATGGAAAGGCAAAAATACAGGTAGAATAAATTATACCGAAATTGGTCGTTTCCATCTGGCCAAAAATGATGTGTGAATTCCTGAGTTTCTTTAGGGTTTGTGCCATTAACAATTCCAAGGCCTTTCTGCCTAGAACTTGAAGTTATGTAGCCAGCACGGAAAGGCTTCTCAGGAGTATCGACGGGGAAATTAAACAACTCTTCAAATGCATCAAAGAAGGTTTTTTGAAGTTCCGGAGGAACTTTGCTGGGTAGGATTGCCATGAAACAGCCGAGCTCTTCGAGTGCTCGGCAAACGTCTTTCCGTGCTGAGAGCCAAGAGCTTGTCCCCGGCTTCAAGCAGTCCGCGTTTGAAAAATCTACCACTGGAATGCCGGCCACAGTTTGCGAACATGAAGTCATCTTTCTTCTTTTTCACTAGCTGTAAGTGAGGTTTTGAGGGCTCTAAGCATAAAGTAGTGCAAGATGCATATTTTCTAAGATGATATTTGTAGCCAGAGTGGTTGTTTCAATTACGGCAAATAACCTGCCCAATTAATACGGAATAGGGACCTACATGATGAAAATATGGCTTGTATATTTTCATGCATTTGAAAATAATCAATCCACAGTCGTTGAAGATTTGATGAATACAATGACGACTTGGTGCCAGTTGGATCCGTCGGCAACCACACAATGAGAGGCTGAAATAACAAGAAGCATTACTGTCACTGTCCATTAAATGCTTGGTAGCTACCCATGTGCATGTTGCCTCCCAACAAGCTTAGAGCAACTCCACCCATTTGCCCTTAATCATGACAAGGGGGGAGTTAGGACAGCCACTATTCACGTGAATAGTAGTTGCTCTTGCAAATAGTATTTTCCATTTCCACCCGTTGCCATAGCAAAGGGCAATTACTATTCATTTTTTTATTTTTTTCACAATTTTTTTTACCTCAATAATTAATTTGGATAATATTTTCGGGTTCCTACGGTGTTTCAACCCGTTGCTATGGCTAAGGGCAATTACTATTCATTTTTTTATTTTTTTCACAAATATTTTTACCTCAATAAATAATTTGGATAATATTTTCGGATAAGATTTCCGGGTTCCTACCTATCAAGACTATTCATAATCGGATAAAATTTCCGAATAAGATTTTTGGGTTCAAATTTCGGATGAATTTCAAAATTCAAAATTCATATAAATTTTTGGGTTCATACAAGTTTCTAATAGAAAACATGAAAAATACAAATACATAAAGGTATGCCAACTAATTTAATGGTTTTCATCATTTAACCAATCTGTGTTGCTAGGCCCATCATCCTGGAAAAGTCTTCTTCTCATAATATCCCTTCGTTCTAGCTTCCAAAATTGTTTTGTTTCAAGGGACATATGGCTTGTATCCATCGCCATGGTTTCCCGATCCGTCTTATACTCATCTTTTTTGCGCAAATATTCCCTTTCTCGTGCATATTCGGCTTGAATCTTCATCTCGTGCGAACATGAAGTCATCTTTCTTCTTTTTCACTAGCTGTAAGTGAGGTTTTGCGGGCTCTAAGCATAAAGTAGTGCAAGATGCATATTTTCTAAGATGATATTTGTAGCTAGAGTGGTTCACTGCAAAAAAAGGAAGCAATAGTCACATTTTTTTTAAGTAACTAATGAAAGTTTTTTAAGCAATGGTCAACGCTCTTAATGAAATTTTTTTTTTGGATGTCACCATTATTTGTGTATAATGATTTAAATATAATAAATTTGGTTGTAGTTGACACATGCATAGTAATAATGTAATAAAATATAACAGGATAATCTTTCCCATAATAAAATATTTACAATGATAATTTAATAAAAATATATGGATGGAATCTTTCTCACTAACCAAGGCTCTTTTCCCTTCCCTCTATATAATTAGTAATAGTTACTCTAAATAATAAATATTATAATAAAAAATGTGAAAGCATGCATGTGCATCTGAAGATGCTCTCAAACCAACTCCTCTTTTTCTTTCTTTTGTAATTTTATTCTCCCCATATCTCATCTCTCCTAACACCTTCATTTTTTTTTTTCCCATCTTCTTCTTCCTTCTGTCACTTTCCATCTCTTCCTCTCTTTTTATTTTTATTTTCCTTCTTCTTCTTCTTCTCTTTCTCTCTCTCTCTTTTTTTTTTTTCTGCTTCTTCCTCTGTCACTTTGCAATTTTTTCCTTCTTCCTCTTTTACGCGTCTCCCGTATCTCTCTCTTCTTTTTTTCTTCTTTTTTCCATCCCTCTCTCTTCTCTTCCTTCTTCTCCTTATTCCCGCTCTCCCTCGAAGACCAATTGTTGTCTGTCCTTATCCTTTTCGTGGGCTACTATTTCATTGTAGGGTTTAATTTCATATCTGAACCGCATCTCCCTTTAGAAAGGTAAAGGTTTTGTTTTTTTGAAGTTTTCATGTGGGTTTAATTTCAGGAATGGTTTTGGGTTTTATTTATGTAACTGCACCGTTACTAATGGCTTTAGTCACAAATATTCGTGGCTAATACTGCGAAAAGTCACGAAAAAGAAAAGTGACTGTTGTGTGTTTTTTTGTAGTGAAGGAGTTTGCTTTCGAGAAATCTACCACTGGAATTCCGGCCACAGTTTGGGAACTCATCTTTTTCTTCTTGGTTTCTCACTAGCTGCATATGAGGTTTTGAGGTCTCCTAAGCATATAAAGTAGCACAAGCTTAGTGCACAATTTATAAAATAGTAAATTGAGCTCAAACCCATAAAATTCATCTTAAATCATCTACAACCCTTTCCCTTAGTTTTCTATGTAAAATACCCAATTTTTTCAAATAATACTCGATGACTAGGATCCAACTAAGCAAGTTACCTAATATAACTTAAAATCTGATTTATTATATTTTTTGGATTCCAAAACTACCCCTATTTATAAGTTAATGTGTTATGAGTGGTGTAACTAATGACACCCGTTGAATTTGGAAATATCTCTAAATAGTTATAATAGATGTAGGAACTAATTTATAAACTTATTTGAAATTAAATATTAAATTCCATATTAAAGTATTAGTAATCTATTTTACGACTAGTAATCTATTTTTGAATTAATGGTGTTTTCCTTCTATGAATTACGACTAGTAATCTATTTAAAGTATTAATAATTTAAATTCAATATTAAATTTAGGAATTAATGTTGTTTTCTTTTTATGAATTATACGACCAGTATTATTTTTTATTAGGGTACATTCTAATTATGTTGAAAAATAATTTAATAATCTATTTATTGTTTTGTTTTTAAAACATTTTTTTTAATGAACCTATTTTTTCTCCAAATATTGTACCTATTTTTTTTTATTTATTACTTGTTTTATGAAAAATAATTTGATCATCTTTTTATTGTTTGTTTTAT